TTTTTCTCAAATTTTCACAGGACATAGCTAAAGACGTCAGTTTCAAAAGTGTGTTCGGCTTTGTTCTAATTTTGGATATTTTAATAATATAGAGCAATTCACTCAAACAATTCAGAAATATATTGCAGTCGTCAAAGAAATCGCCATATCAGCGGAATGACGAAATAAACAAAAATTTCCGAACACTATTTTTTAGAACAACTATTTTACTGTTTAAAAATGATATCTTCATAAATATAACTTAAAACCAGCAGGAGCACAACTCAAAAGCGTAACGGTACCGCGATTTAAGATTTTCCTGAATAATTCTTACATTATTTTATTGCTTGTTTATTTTATAACTGTACCATATTTTACATGCACTGGCGAACATTTGGTGAAAATTTGATGAAAATCGGACTGATTTTGAGCGCGCAGTAGCGATTTTTCGCAAAACGCCAAAAAGGGTGTCCTGTAACCTTAAGGTGGAATTAATATTTGAATGAAAGCAATTAAAATCAATAAATTTATCTTTTCTATTGTTTTTAAAAGGCTATTTAATAAAGGAAATAGAAAATATTTTTTTCCGTGTTCCTATAAACTTTATCGAAACACTTTATCGAAACACGAAAAAGTTTGGGAGAAACTCGAAATTGCGTGCATGGAAACACTCGCTCATCGCGCTCGTATTCCCACTCAATTTCTCGTTTCTCCCAAACTTTCACGCGTGTTTCTATAACTCTATAGAAACACGGAAAATGTTTTCTATTTCTTAAATATTTTATACCGACATTGCTTTTTGGAAAGGCGAACCTAAATATCTAAAACTAAGCGCAAAATATATTTTAGTTCACAAGTCATGTTTTAACCACAGAAATTTATTTCTCTCAGTCACGTCTAAGATTCATTCTATCTTCCTATTTGCGGTTCTGTATTAATATACATCATGTTCAAAATGCGTGTAAAAGCCATCAGGCATCACGAGACGCGAATCCGTTCTGGTATTCTTGAACAAACACAAGCAGGAATTTTACCCAAAATCTGGAACCCCCCGCGAGAACATCGCTGATATGCCACCAAACTCGTGGCGGAAATCTTGGTGGAGCTGGGGGGGGGGGCGACCGCCCCTCCCCCACCTTCAATTTTTCGGAAATGTTGACCTAAAAGAGGGCTAAAA